AGGGTGGGCTTCGAACAACGGTCGATGCGCTGCGGGGCGATAAGGGTTACGTATCCCGCGACCACCGGTGTCACCTAAGCTCTTACCGCTCTGTGAAGGCTGTGGCCGTGGCCGATTTCGTAGCCTGGATTGCCTACGGCGGTTCTACCCATTTCGCAAGAGAGCTTTGCAAGCACCGGGCCAGTTTCCTGTTGAAGTGACTCTGTGCTACACACTGATCGATCAGACGTTTCCCCAGTTTTTGAGGGAAATTCACGACCTCAGCCTTGTTGTCGTGTCGTTTTCATGGTTAACGGGAGGGAGCTGCGTGCACTTTGGACCTAAAAAGGTACCTTCGAAATTTGCAGAGTCGCAGAATCCTCCGCGGTAGAAGTACTTGGACCGCGGGGGTCTTCCGCGGATCGCTGTTTTCTCTATCTCTCTCCCCCCCCCCCCTCCCCCGACTTCTCGCGTCTCCCCATATCTCGACACCCACCTCCTTACTACGGACGCAACTCCCCAAAGCAGACGGCCTACGAGGAAAAGAAGGAGAAGGTTTCCAGCATGAATTGGGGCAACCTCGGCAAGTCCGGCGGCGGCGGCAAGCGGGGTAAGGCTGGGCGGGGACAGGCAGGACCGTCCTCTTCTTCGTACGGTGGCCCGGCGGGGGGGGCGGCGGCGGCTTCGGAAGACGCGGCCGGGCTAGACGCGGCTTGGAAGGAGGCAGCGTTGCCCAGAGCGGGCGACGAGCTCAAGTGCAGGCACTTCAAGGCGTGCGCCGGCTGCGTGTTCGACCGGCGGTTCGACGAGACTCCGATCATGGTGGATTCCAGGCAAGAGAGAAACCTTTAATTCCGTAGTAGTGGCATTGCGCGCGTACAAGGCGTTTGTACAGCAGTCGTTTGATGAACTTGGTCGCATCCACTTGGTTCAGCGTACTGTTGGTTTTCCCGTTAGATTTTGGGGCACTTGTGGGGAAAGCAAGGCGGCGGACGACGGCAGTGGGGGCGGGGGTGGTGCACTAGCTGTTCTTCTGCTGTGAGTGGCATGAAGGGTGGGCTGCGAGCTGCGGATTTAGTCTCCACCTTGATCGTCAGACAACCCTGGACAACGGTTTTTCGTGACGCAAGTGCAATGTTGCTGCTCTGAATCCATCAGATACGCGTGACGTGTTCTTGTAGATTTGCTCATGCACTCGCGACGCCGTCAAGGCACCACCGGTTGGATTTATTTGAAGGTGCTGTGTGGAAGACGAAACACAGGTGACGTCAGTATTTCGGGCCCCGGTGGCAGCGTGTATGCACCACACACGAGGGCAACAAACACCACGATGTTTCCTCCATTAGGGAGCCGCCGCCGTTAGAAACAACCATCATATAGCTGCACCTCACGCACACACACAAATCGAAGATCGCGTGGTCGTGCCCACATGTTTGTCATTCGTCTTTTTTCTTTTTGATGATGCGGGTCGTTGTCATCTGTCCCCCCAGCTCCTTCATGGACAGCCTCCACTCCACCGGGGCGCGTGCCCGGGGGGGCGCCAAGGCCGCGTCCGACTTCGAGCCGCACGTGATACACCCGTGGAAGCCTCACGGCTGGAGGACGCTGGCGAAGCTCGCCGCGCGGCCGGTCTCCAAGTGGCGAGGGGTGGAGCTGGGGCTGTACAGCGCCGGGTCGCACAACGTCATCGGGATCCCGGACTGTCGGGTGCACCACCCTTCCGTCAACCTTGCCGTCAAGACCCTGCAGGAATCGACCAAGAAGGTGTGGAAGGAAGCGTGTTTTGTTGCGGAAGGAGGAGGGGGGTGGGGCGTACTCGTGTTTTGCATGCCTTGGGTTGGAGACCACGCTCATGTTTTGCATGCTTTGGGTTGGAGACCACGCGTCCTCGAGACGGGGGGGGGGGGGGGCGGTATTCGTTGCCATGAGGTGGTTGCCCCCAGACCTTGAGACGATGGCATTGATTGGGTGGGGGTAGCTGCTTGTCGAACATGGTCTCAGTGAGCACCAGGTCAGCAGGTTTATTGCGTATCACACCTCTCTCGATCATGGTCTCGGTGAGTGCCAGGTTAGTGTAGTCTCGTTGCATGCCATACCTCCTCGTCTTTCCGCCACGCCTGATGCCCTTTTCTTTTCTCCCTCACTGTCGATGATGCCACGTCACCCCCTTTCGCGCGCTCTGGCTCTCGGTGCTGCTGCCCGGCGTCTTGCCAGATCGGCGTGACGGGGTTCCGGCAGGAGAACTTGGATGGGGACCTCCGCTATGTGCAGGCAAGGTTTTCTTACTACTGGCCCTCGAGTTGTTGTTTCCAAGAAAAATCTATCGAGGCTTCATTTTTCCCCCGCCAAAACAGTTCGCCCCCCACAGCAGTAGCGTAGCGTGTCGGTGTGGACGCATGCTTTTCTGCAGCCCCAAAGATTCTCGTTGGTGTTTGTGCCAAAAATTGGTGCCGCATCCGTGCACGCGAAGAAACCCGGTGATGAGCCGATCGCTGTATGCATCTCCTGACCTTGGTAACCAGCGGCTGTTCATTGCCACACCACTCCTGCCACCCCCCCCCCACCCCTCTCTCCCTCCCTCCCTCTCCCTCTTTCTCGTGTCCTCTCATCTCCTCTTCTCTCTGTTGTGGCATCCACTTATGAATTCCACCCTTGCGTTTATTGTCTTGGTGGCCACAGATGGCGGTGGAGCGGACGTCCGGACAAGTGCAGCTGACCCTAGTGTGGAATGAGGAGAACTATCGCGACGCCACTCCCAAGCTGCAGCTCTTGGCCAAGGACCTGAGGTCCAGCCGGCCGGAGCTCTTCCACAGCATCTGGGTAAACTTCAGGTGATGAGAAAAATAGAGATTTGTTTTTTGATGGCCAGGCACTGCGTACGTTTTTCCCTTTGTTCCGTGTAAGGGCCTCCGGTGATGCTCTACACGCTCGTATTCTCGCTGTTGCTGTAGTCTGCCTCTTCTCATAGTTGTAGATATGGTATATGTTTTGGATGTAACTGTCATCGCCGTAAAATGTTGTGGTGGTGGTGTTGTTCGTGATGAGTTTGCCCGAAAGTGCTGTTCCCGGCTGTTCGTTTCGCCCTTTTTTCTCCGGTTTGCGAGCTCGTGAGGGTCTGAAGGCGGACCGATTCAATTTTTGTCGTGGTCGTGGTCGTCGTTGCTGTTTTTTTTTTTTTTTTCCGCCGCGCTTGTGCTCCGCATCCGACGACAACAATCGCTCGTGACGACCTGTGCAGAGTGGGAGTCGGAAACGCCATCTTCAGCCGAGATCCTCACAGTTGGCACCGCTGCTCCGGCCCGGAGTACCTGAAGGAGGTGGTCGGGCCCTCCAAGATTCCCTTCTTTTTCAGGTGAGCGAAAAGGTGTATTTCAGGTGGCGTTGGCACTTCTAACATACCATGTCGATGCGCCATCACGTTTTTCGCGGTCCACAACCAAGGGGGAGGTAAGTTGTACCTGCCGCCTTTGTGCCACAGACGCCAGTTTTTTCGTTTGAGTGACCAATCCTCTCTCGAAATAGTTGGAGAACAAGCGGAGGAGGGTATCATGGCGTTGAAGCCCACGCTTTTACTACAGCGAAGCCACCATTTGATACCGCACTTTACTTTCCTTCACTTCTCTCGCGGCGAGAGCCTTGAAGCAACGTTCATCATTGGCGGGAGTATCACCTCGGCCATCTCCCGAGAATGGTGCCGTGCAAGCCAAGATGGGCATGTGGTCTCGTTGGTGCCGAGTACCACTATGAACCTTTGCAACTGCCAGCCCCGCCTGCCCACGTAGCTACAGCCTGGGCCAACTCGTGTAGATAGACAAATCGATCATCACCGTGGAGGAAAATGGCGCGGACTGAACGTGTGGAACCCTCGCGTCCAATCGAGGGAGTTTGTTTGTTCTGTGAGGAGCCCTCGCGTTAGTTTCCTAACCTCAGAGATGTAAGACTGTTGGTTGACATACCACACAGCTCTTCACGCCCATCTCATCGGCGGCCCCGTGTGCTGTATCCCCCCGGCCCCCCGGCGCGCGCGGCCGTACAGCCCCCCACTGTTCCGACAGGGAAACCTCGACCACTTCGAGAGCATCGTGCAGGCAGTGGTGGACTGGGTACCCGAGGGATCAGGGGTGTGCGAACTCTACGCGGGGGTGGGTGTGCTGGGGCTCAACGTCGCCGCGAAGGCGGCCTTCGTGCGCTGCTCGGACGTGAACTCGTTCAACCCTCGCAGCTTTGAGAGGTCCAGGTATGGAGGGCTCTCTTGTGTTTTTCGTGTGTATGGAAATGGTGATGAGTAGGTTGGACGGGGGGGGGGAGGGTGACCTCGCATCCCTGCAATGCCGGGGCGCAGGAGCGATATGCCGGTTTTCGCCGGCCCAGGCTATGTTTCATAAGGATGAGCCAGACGCTGGTCGGATGGGGTTAGTGCTTCTGTTGCTGTGCAGTTTTAATCCTGCGGAAAACCATTCGTGTGCGACCAGGGCTCTGTGTGTGGGGCAGATGGCGACAAATAGTGGAGGGGGAGGGATTCGTGCTTCTTCTGCTGTGCGGTTTTCATCTCATTGTGGACAACCACTCCTGTGCTTCCTTCCTCTTGTTGTGACTGACCCCGACCGATGCGCGTCCGAAATTTGCCGAATGACGTTCAGAACACCGGTGATGACAACAGCAGCAGACAGTGCCGGACCTCTTGGGGCCGCTTGTTGATCGCTTGTTTTTTATCGCCCCCTGCCGCTTCACGAAGGTGACTTCGTGGCCCATTCATTCTCTCTTGATTGTTGCGTGCACTTTTGTTTATGGTTGTGTTTTGCGGTCGATTCGATTTTCAGGAAAACGTTGCCACCTAACGTCCGGAAACGGGTGTCCTTCGAGGCTATGAGCGCGGACGAAGCCATGGAAGACGGAGAGTCGGAGGGCTGCGAGGTTCTGATCGTTGACCCTCCCCGAAAGGTCAGCGGCTGTTTTTTTTTTTGCTGACAAGTGCAGGTTAATGTCTCTGACTTCCGACCTCTTTCTGTCCCGCGCCTTTTGTGAAATAATGTAGAGGTGTTCGATGGGGGCCCAGCAGACAGATCCCCCCCCCCCCCTCACCCTCGCCCCTGTTTGCTACTCGGAACTCTTTTATTCACCACAAAGGCCTCCAGAGCAATCATGCGTCTACCTCCAATAAGAACTTCAAAATCCCAACCATGGAAGCACGCAATGCACCGAAACAGCTCTGGCCTGACAAAGAGGGTGAACCAAACCAAAATTGGTGTGTGTGTGTCTTTGCAT